TAGTGGTCATTCGGCCAGAATAATCGTACGAAACGAAATAATTCCCACGTGGGGACAAAAATTTTCACTTTATTCATGATGTGGACTCGAATCCGTTCTGTAGGCTACCATTACTTGAAATCGACGTGGGATGTGAGGTGGAAGACGTTGCTTGGGCACCATACAGCAGCACGGTGATTGCGGTGGTTACTGGTAATGGAGATGTTTTGGTGTTCGATCTGGCCGAAGACAGATTTTCGCCTATTTGTGTGCAAAAGGTGACGAAATGGAAACGAAGTCGGTGCACGACCATAGCTTTCAATCCGGTGGATCCCATCGTTTCTGTGGGTGACAACAGGTGAATAATATCATAATTTAGCTTTTAAAACACCCGAATGGCATACTGTGTTGCGAACAGGGATGAAGCCACATCTAATTTTTTGCGAAGAGTTGTTTTCGAAATTGATCCCGAGTGCAATTATGCAATCTGTCGTTGGATCGGTGCCCTCTAGAAAACAAGCCATAAATAGCCTTAAAACAACTGAGGATTTATTTAACGACTTCTTCCTATAAGACCATCTCAGAACTAACTATACACCATGGATTAAGTTTTAATAGGGAAGCGCATTGAATTCCAGATTCATTTTTCAAACAAACATTTGAAAAAGGTCATCTCCAAGTGTTTCTTTACTCTTGCGTCATTCCTCAACTTTTGCGGAATCGGTTCAATTTATTCATGCTCGGAGAACCAAGCATATTAACTTATTAAGCACCTCTAACTATTAAGCACATCTGTGTAAAATTCGTAATTTCCGACGACTCTTAAGCTGATAAATTAATGGGTCGTAGTCCAAATTTAAATAAAGCATATAAATAAGAAATTGAAACCCCATAATTCGATTACGAGTCATAACGTAACGATACAAGGACTGAGAAAGCTCTGCAGGGAAATACCTCTCCTGTGTTTTCCGTTTTATTTACAATTTAATTTCGTACTGCGGGTTGAACACTTGAATATTCTTCAAAAATACAATCGGAAATGTCGAAAAATTATGGAGAGTTTCTTCTGATCGTTAGAATGGGACTTGTCTTGTGCTTAGAGTAGCCGAGCATTCGTGAAGCGAAATTTTAACGAGTGACATTGTCAGAAAAACTCTTTTTACGACTCTAATGGATGGTTTGTCAAAATTGACCCGTTGGTCTTTTTTCTCTCTTTCAAAAGGGGCACTGTCGTGATACTGAAGCTGTCTCCCAACCTCCGGAAGAAGCCCATTTCGTATAATTGAATAATTCGTGGAGATTGATAATTCGTGTAGACACATTTTAAGCATTAAAGGCTGCTGAGAATTCGACTATTTAATTACCCAGCATCAGGTTTAAATTTATTTCGTATATTTATTTAAATTGAAACCCCATAATTCGATTACGAGTCATAACGTAACGATACAAGGACTGAGAAAGCTCTGCAGGGAAATACCTCTCCTGTGTTTTCCGTTTTATTTACAATTTCATTTCGTACTGAGGGTTGAACACTTGAATATTCTTCAAAAATACAATCGGAAATGTCGAAAAATTATGGAGAGTTTCTTCTGATCGTTAGAATGTGACTTGTCTTGTGCTTAGAGTAGCCGAGCATTCGTGAAGCGAAATTTTAACGAGTGACATTGACAGAAAAACTCTTTTTACGACTCTAATGGATGGTTTGTCAAAATTGACCCGTTGGTCTTTTTTCTCTCTTTCAAAAGGGGCACTGTCGTGATACTGAAGCTGTCTCCCAACCTCCGGAAGAAGCCCAAGCCAGTGAAAAATATGGGTGGAGTGGATGATAACCAGGGTCCACCGGAAGAGCGGAAGCTTCGCGCACTCTTGGCTATGTTGTAACGATTGCGTTATCTGCTTCCGTTTCTCTGCGCCTCCTTCAAGTGCAGTTCATTATTCAGGTCACTCGGTGGGTGGAACGTTTACGTTTGATAACTTTGGCGTGTCCAAAAGGTTACAACTATATAGCACTGCGACATTTTAAACTCGAGTCTTCAATGTTCATACCTTGACCAATGTAGTATAAAAAAAGAGCTATTCTAGTGCGGGTAGATGCCATTGGAGGATATTTTGACTTTCGAATTTTATGCTGAAATCACCAATTTCGGGTTCCTCCTCTGCATCCCGGATTACGGGAAAAATTGAAATCGTGACACACAAGGTTTGATAGGATATTTCGATTCCTGATTTTATTTTTGTGAAATTCAACGGAATCTTCATGCAACTAACGAACACTCTTCTTTTTTACATGACTACGTTTTCATCATTTTTTGGAAATGAAAACGTAAATGTTGTGCAATATTCCCGATTACATTGCTGAACAAAGGAACCCTTTCATGAAAATAAGCCATGTTGAATTTTTGCAAAGATTGCAAGCTTGTACAATAATAGCAATGATTATCGGTTCAACGATTATTTTCAGTACAGTTCTGTAATGGTTTTTTTTTTCATCCGTTGCTGCTCTACGTTGTGACGAAATTTTTCTGAAACGCGCACCGTCATCACATTTCTTCAGCTTAAGAGATTCTCCGTAAAACTGCTTTATGCAATCGTGATCAAAATTTTGATGATCACCCAAGATTTCCGCCGCATCAAACAGTGCTCAATTTTTTCGTTGCGCAGTAACTTTTTGGACACCCCGTGTACTTGTCTTGAGTACTGAGCGAAATATATTTTATTTTTTCCGGCAGATTTTTAGTCGAAACTGAATGTAAAAGACCGCGACGCTTTCCGCATCACCATGAATGTCTTCCGCGCCGGCATCATCATATCCACTACACAACATGACGAATATACCTGTCGAACTGTTGCTGATCCCGCTGTGTTTAACAGCGCTAGTTTCCACCGAAATTGACAATTACGTGCCCGACTTGGGAACGAAGCATTCGAGTGTGCAATACAGTGTTTTCAAATCGCCGGCTGCCCCGTGGCATGCAAAGGATTTTAGCCGAAGCCCCGTGATTCGCCGCTTCAGCATGTATCAGGAGTTCCGACGCTTGACTGGCGTCGTCATCATGGCGGAGAATCCGTGGGACGAAGTTTTTGTCAAAGAGCCGGCTGGAGGTGGGTGCCGATCGAAGGCTTCGAGTACAGTTCGGGACACGGCGGCTTTGCACGGATGTCACTTGGCCGTGTCCGCCGGCTTTTTCAATACATCTGATGGCGCGTGAGTGTACATCGTATACCGTATGCTGATTTGAAATGGATTGACAGTGGCATCAACCTTGCTACGTTGAAACAAATCTTTATTGTAAGAAAGGTTTCTCTTTCAACGAAGCAGTTCGTGATAGAGAAGCCCGAATAACCTTGTGGTTATTGGGCAGGGACCTACAATTGATATTGTTGCAAGCAATAATTTTATATGCTGTCATGAGATTTTACTGGAGTGTAACTGAATTATAACACATGTATGCGGATAATGAATAATTTGGAAGGTCCCTGTGGTATAGCTGTGGGATTNTTTTTCTTTCTGTTTGTTTCTTCAACTTTTGACGAGGTTCTCACAGCTCAACTCCAAGAGACACCGGTTGAGACGTATAAATCATTCAATCAAGTAAAATCCTCTTTTTTTCTTGTTTCTAGTTCACACCTGGGGCATGACAAAAACAAAGAAAAATAAATCATTAATAAAATTGAATCAAACAGAAACAAATCAGACCTTATTGATCTCGACACTTCTGTAGTAAACCCTCGGCTGAAAATATGAGACACAGGATGGGACTTTTCATAGCTCCCAGATCATAGAAATGAAGTCAGAAATTCCCCATGTATGTGACATGCCTCAGTGGTTTTGAAAAGAGGTGTTTCAATTAAGAAAAGAAAGATCTGTTAGTGAGTCCAAGAGGCAACGCCCTATCACAAAACCTTGCAACTCTGCTCTTGAAGTAGTTAAACTTTTTTCATATTAAGGACTCTACTTTTGGCAGCAGCAAAGGCTGGTACACATCTGAAAAGGTTACAATTTTGTGCTTTTGATGGTAAATTGGCTATTCAAGTTGATGATGCCAAAGTTATCTCTTTCAACACTTCCAACTGAAAAAATTGTGTGGATGATTTGACAGTTCTGCATGACATCCAGGTTGTAAGGCTCTAGAACATTCCCTTCAAGTTGACTGGCAGTTATTCCTTCCTGGCTTGATTTGCGACTAAAAAAATGTCAAATAATCAACGAGGAACTTGTAGAGGAAGGTAATATTTAAGACAACAAGTTTCAAGCAATTGAGATGCAAACATATCCAAATATTTGGCAGCAATAATATTCAACAGAGAGACAGACCGTGGAAGTACCCATCCCTGTCTACAAAATACAGACAGAACAATTAGTACACTGAAGTAAGCATAGCATGAATATCTGCCAAATGAGAATTAATCAAGCAACTCATATTGAAATGCTCTTGCAGACTATAGCTTTCTTACACTAGCAGAAAATATAGATTTAAAAATTCTCTTAGTCTGAAAATTAGCCAAACCCTGAGGCCTAGGAGAAAAATTCTCACTTGAAGGTCAAAAATCAACTGATTCCTTCCCTATCATTAAATACACCAGAACAAAACATCAGGTGACTCATTATTCTGAAGAATCTGATGAGATTAGATTTGGTAGTATCTGATTCAAAATGCAGGTGACTGACTCACCATTCTCCCTTCAAATTATGGACTCACAGTACTCATGGGTTGAAGACTTGGTGAATGACTAAGGAAGAATTCTGCAAAAGGGTCGAAATAGTGGTTAAATCCAAAAAACCTGAAAATAATTCAACTTTTGCTTGAAAAGGAAAATTTTATACAGTACGGTACTTCCCAATTTGAAATTCCAAGATTGCCTTCTCAATCTATATTTAGGATACCAAAGACTACCCAATTCATCCAACAATGGTCATTGCAATTTTTGATCAAACACCACCATTGGTGATCTTTTCATACCCATGTGTCCCTACATGGGACCTGGAGACCCTTGCTCAACTATAACTACAAGCCTTTAAAATTACCCATCATCAACTAGACTCATGGAACCTGATTCAATCAGGATTGAGGGTCAAAATTGTGGCAACCAGGGGAAAGTATCTTGTGCTCTGAAAATGTCCCCTCCCTCACAAAGAGAATTGCAGCCTAAAAGATCTACTACAAACTTTCAACCCACTCTTGCGAAGTAGCACAACCAGGACCAGACTCCTACTGAACTGTACATCTGATTCCAAGTCTGAGGTATTTTCCAAACTTTCCTGCTCAACACTAAATTGATGCTAGACAAATTTTACTACTGTACAGTACTTCCAAAAATCTATTTTTCACTTGCTGCTTTTGCTTGCACCCTAACCCCTATTAACAAGCCCTGTCTGAAAGAATAGCAGGCAGGGACCCCATAAATGCTCACTTTCCAGGATTTGGGACAAAACTGTATTTTTTTAGGCACATTTGTTAGGTGTGATCTGTATCTGGGGGGATGGGGTGAAAAGGAGCGGTGCAGGAGGAAGTGTGTTTGATACAACCATAGGAAGACATTTTCTTCTCTCACTATTATTGCCATTTTTGTTCCAAATTTCAGTATCCGCAAGAGACTAACAAGTTTTTTTTCAACATTCTAACATGTTCTTTTCTTTGTTTAGGCTCTGAAAATGATGGCAACTGGGTAAATCTTCAAATATGTCAATATGTTTTGCTGATTCATTCCTTTTTAATAGTGTTATTTTACATCTACATGGGTATGTCAGCAAGAAGAGCTGTAAAAGTAAATTGGTTAGCATTAACAATGTCGTGAAGAGGGGCATAGGAGTAGGGATGCCTCCCTCCACCTTGTCAATGTAGCTCAAGTATAAAATTCAAAAAATTTAGGTAAAATGTAGCTCATAGGGTTTTCTATTTGGTTTTATTAGAGTTAATAACAGATCAAAACTCCAATGACTCATGTCTGTGTAACTGACATTTTCATGTACACTAGAATCTAATCACTACACATTTTTGCTTACAACAAATTTTTTTCCAAGGCGCAGCTTAAATTAATGTTGTCATAACAAATATATTTTTTTACTGTCTCACTATTTATAAAAAATTGTTCCCAAATTTTTAAAATTTCAAATTCAATTTTCAGATTTTTTTGTCCCAAATTTCCAAATTTTTGGTCCCCAATTTTCATATGATAATTTCCTGCAGCTCATCATCCCCAAATAGTGGACAGGAAATGTGTCTGCACCAGAATTATACACTCAAAAATACAGGAAGTTAAAAATGGGCTACATTAGCTGACTGACAGGAAGCCCATAAAATAAATGTATCCTGATTAATCTAATATCCAACATCTCAGGAGTCTGGAAGCACAGTGCCCAGCTAGCCACCCACCAAAATCTGTGATAATCTGTTTTTTAGCAATGCCCCTCTGTGTTGAGTTATTTTTCCAATTTTTTAATTCATTTTCAAATGTAACCATTTTGTGAAAGACATTACTTTCACAGATTTTTCAGAGAGGAAAAAAAACAACTACAGTTCTTTTGACACTAAAATGCTTTAACAGATGATGAAGTGTATTTCTGGTAATAAATCCACCAGTCTCAATATAACAAATTTTTCATCACAACAATTTGTTTCCAGTCCCTGGGAGTTTGTTGTAATGAGATTCTACTGTACATACAAATTTAATTTTACTTGCTGAACATCTGGCAATCTAATTCAAAATGACGGGGCAAATATTGCAAATTCTTCAGGACAGATAATGAAGTCCTCCTGTTCATGCGCCACAACTGGTTCTTTGAGCACATAGGAGGTTACTGGTGGTTCTTGGCTTTTAACCGGCTTCAATCAATTATTTTTTGGCAGTTCTCTTTAGGAAATGTACAGTATCTCATGATGTTTAAGCGTGGCTGGGCATCCCAGCTTTCTTATGAAAATTGAACACCTTTCACATTTGAGGGTAAAGTTCTATTATAAGAGTCTTGCAAAAAACCTTCTTAGATAACTCACTTTTCTGGCTTTAAAATTTAGATAAAAAACACTGTTCTGAAAATTGAACATCAGTTGTTAAATTCTGTCCCAATTTCAACTAGAATTAAATGTTATTTTACACTGTTAGAAATGTTGAAGTTTATCAGGAATTCCCCTATGAGAGTAGATAATACAGATCAGTTTTTGAAGGACGGTGTTGAAAAATTGTATACCCCCTCGTAGCCCTCTTTCTCTCATCTTATTTCTGGAGAAAAGTGTGTCTGGTAGTCATCTTGATATGGTGATAGCAACCATCTTTTGCAAAAGCAATTGAAAAGCATAGAGAAGATGTACAGTACTGTATATAACATGCTTTCATCAAAGATTAAGTGATGATATACCTGCCACCCTGGGTTCCTTGATCCTAGACCAGCAGCCTTTGCCATTTCTTTTATAACTCCCAAAAGAAAGACGCAGTCAAAGAACAGCAATGTTCTGACATTTAATTTGTTCGGATTGAAATACTTGCAAAACTTCTTTGGTAAGCAACTTTCATTCACCGACACATTCCAGCGCATCCAATCAGACTTCTGCCCTTTTAATGTCTCTTGTACATCAGAATTTCTTCAAGCAGGACGGCAATCAAGGCTACAATCTTCCCCACTTGCCACCAACTTTCTCAAAGATATATGCAGGTAACATTCCAGCTTTCGGCAGAAGATGGCAGGACTCGACGCGGAAAAAAAACCACAAATCGCAAGTCTCCAGCAGACAGATTTCAAGGATGACACGGATAATCCATGCAGGCCTTCATAGAATGTGATATCTCGTCAGCGCAGATTTCATATTCTTGAAGGCCCGTATGAAATAATGCCGCCGTAATACGTCAAGGTCCTCCATTCGATCGTCGAAGTTGGCCTCGCCAACTTGAAACGACGTCGTCACCAGCCTGCCAACCATCAAGGCCATGAAGAGTGCAATTTGTCAAGAGATACCCAAACTTTGCACTCGGCATAAGCCTGATGGACAGAGGCGTTCAGAAGGGTGCTTCTTCCCGTTTGCAGATATCCATATTCCGTTCCGAAGGTCGATTTCAAAGCTCGCCCTATTGCAGGTAGTTTCACCACGGAAGTCACATTTGCATACACTGACTTCCGGTGGTGAAGTTACCATAACTGAGCAGCGACTCGACGGGGTTGATAAAGACGAAAATCTCGCGAATTTCCGAATAAAACCTGGAACAGTTCTGCACACCCAGCACATTCAAAAAATGACGTTCAATTCAGGAAAAAAAAGTAGTAAACCTCACGCTACTACTGATTCAAATTTCCGCGGAGTGGAAAGCGAATGAAAAGATTACAGTATTCTATCTTGGACAAGCTCCATAATTACTCATCAACTTAAAACGAGAGTTGCATAAATGCATTCGAACTAGCCGTAAAATTAAATGAAGAAGCAATGCGAAAAGCTTGAAATCGAAAACAGTTGAAGTTTATGACGGATCTTACAGCTGAAAAGTTGATTATTTTGGGAGTTAACAGACTTGCTGGTGGATGACAATTCTACCTCCAGCCAGTAATTTTCCGCTGATGGACTGATCTTTCTAGCTAAAACATTTCGAAATTTTCAAGAAATGCTGTACTGAATTATGCCATAAAATCCTTGAAATTTGGGCACACTATCAGAATAAGGTAAAATAACAAGAACCACAGTAGACGTTCGTCAAAAAGGCTAACATTTCAATCCAATCTATAAATTCGTGGCGTGATGAATCGCTAATCTTAAAGGTACAGCATGAAATTCGAAGCACGGACACAGTGAGACACGTCGCTTTTTTTTTAAGAAACTAAGAAAGGAATGTCGATCGGAACTTTTATCAATGTCGGAACTTTAATCGATGTAAGTTGCAACTCCCACGTCCCTTACGGTTCAGGCATGATTTTTAATTTTCACAGATTCGGAATGAACGCTCCGGGATTTCAGTCTCACTATCGCATGGGGAACTTTTCCACAGATACTGTACTAACAAGTTCAACTTTTCCGGAAATCCGACAGCTAATAGCAAAGGGAAGAAGAACTTCATTCACATCGCGATCCCGCAAAATGGCGGTCACAATGCACACAAAGAAGAGCGTAAATTGTTTCACATAGCTTACTACTCACGCACATTCAGTTGTGTGTCTGATGCAAGGCTTCAACACCTTACTCAGGAACCTTTCCAAGGCACGATATGCACTGCGATTCCGCCGAAGGTCCCGGCAAAATTCGGATTTGAAAAAAAAAGACCAGCTCACTGTTTGGACACTTTTCTAGAACCCATTATACAGTATTTTGGATCAGGAACTTCTCCGTTGCCAGCAATCCCGTCAAAAATTCAGCAAGCAGAACATAAATCGAACCAAAATCACAATAAAAACCGCTCAGTACAGTGTACTGCACTGCCGTGAATTCCGACAAGGGTGAAGGAAACGTTGCCCCAGGAGCTAACGTTACCGGCATCGTCCTCTGATTTCATTCCTACCGCGCCGACTCGACTCTACCGTTGTCCCTGCGCCCGCGGAAACATCGTCCAACTCTCTGTCTCGCTTTCTTGCCCTCTTTCCCGCTCTCCCCCACTGCCTTGGCAGTCCAACGGCCTCGCGTTAGCGCCGGAAACGGGCGAACAAAGGAACGCCAGGGTTGCTGGATATACTGTAATCCACTCGCGTGCTCCCTATCAAGTCGCGTCGCATCAGATGCCCATGACAAAAAGGTGGAAAACCAGGACACATTCCGACGCCGCCGGCGTCGTGCACTCTCAGGTCGACGAAAATGCCACGGATCATCGCGGAAAATCAACTCGCATCATCAACAATAGAATTCTCAATGCAGTACTCGATTTTCGCTTTCGTCACTGTTCTCAGAACAGACACTCGTGAGAAAAATGCAAGTACTGTACTCTTGCATTGTGGAGTAGACCAGGAGAACATCGGGGTGAATCATCGCATTTCACTTCGATTCACAAGACGTTCGTTTACATGGCATAACCAGTATATGGGATCCAGTTTATCAAGAGCCCATCCCGTATTAAGCAGTGTACTGCATTCTCGCAAATTGCACCGCACCTACTTCCAGAGATATCCTGATGAAACTCCGTTCAACAAATGTATTAAATGTACTGCAAGCCTAATGATAATGGGGAAGCGCGCGCGCATCAACTTGAATCAGAGGAACATCTGACTGATGCTACGGGAACATCGGAGTGCCAGTGTTGCTCGATCCACTGGAGTGCAGCCCCCATTCCTATAAAATCCACGCATCTGTACAAAACCTCGGTATATAATTGCACGTGCTTGTGTGGGTTTTCAACGGAAACAGCTCAGTACTTTCAAGGAATCGGCCAGGACATGATCGACATCAGTACTGTACCTGTACCGTCATTTTTATTCATTTTGTTGAAGAAAGGCCCATGGTCCCATGATTGGAAACCGGCTGTGCTCCAGTCATCTCTGCGTTCATTTTTTGTTTTTGTATAATTTATTTTATTAATTGCTTTGGAAAAGATTTCTGAACCGTGCTGTTTTCTACGCAGAAGACTTCTCCTTTTGTCCGCCAGTCTAGATAAAATTCCATCATACTTGGGCGTCGAATCTTAAACAATACCTCATGAAGTTTGCTGGTGGCAGCCATGGTACTCTATATGACTGGTATAGTAATTCAAGGGTGTATATATGCATGCATAGGTGCATTGGAAACGTGGTGACGAATTCGAGCGTGATCCAAACAAGTTCGAACCTAAATGCCCATTTCGGGCTCTTGCGCACTGGGGAGATGTTCATGGGCTACCCGAATGTGAGCTGCATTGACGATTTCAAAGAACTGGTTGTGGGTGCTCTATGGATTGTGAGAGACGGGAAGCCGAATTGGGAACACAGTGCCCAGATGGAGGAAGTGTCTGTGCAGCAAACCGGTTCTTGGAAGGATTTCATGGCTGTTGTTTCAGGTGCGAGGAACGAATTTCGAACATGCATCACGCCTGCAATCGTGTCGTCTTATTGCTGATATACAGTGCTGTATTACTGTACATGTATTTAACGAATTTCTCAGCTATATTTTACATTCTTTAATTTCTGCGAGTCTACGAACTGCTGCTGCCCATTACTATATGAACGAAAGCGTGTGTAAACTGGGATGATGGTCGTGATTATTGTTGAAATTTTTATCATCCATTGGGTTCTCTCGCCCCGGCTTAGATCAGAACCGACGATCCCAAACGAATCAGATGTCTGTCATTTGGTTGAGTGAACCGTAATGACATAATTCAATTGTAATCGTGACGCTATACGTGCGACATCTGTGCGAGACAATAATAATAAGCGGACATTTTCTCCAACGGGATGTTTGGGTGTATCATGATCAGAGGGGGCACGTACATATTCCCGACTGGGGAGATGCCGACGCCGCGCATCGCCTGTCTTTCCTTGGATGGACATTCCCCTGTACGAATGATGAAAAAGGTTTACAGACCACCTAAACTAACCTGACCTAACCTAACCTAACCTATCCTATCCTAACCTAACCTAACTTAACTTAACCTAACATAATTCAACATAACCTAACCTTACCTAATTGAATTAAACATAACCTAACCTAACCTAACTGAATTTAACCTCACCTAATCTAACATAACCTATACGTACGGGAATGTCCAACCAAGGAAAGACATGCGATGCGCGGCGTCGGCATCAACCCGGTCGGGATCTTGTCAGTTCCCGATCAGAGGACAGTATGATGGAATGTGATTGTTTATTAGATCATCAGTTATTGAAGGTACACATTAGGTTACATACTGTATTTCTTAACAGTGCGCTTTATAAATTTAAAATATATACGCATGGTGTGATGGAATACCCAATTAGTGACCAGAAGCAAATTAATTTATGTTAGTATTATGCCCCTGAAGCCTTATTGTCGTCGGGCAGCAGGTCGGGGATTTCCTGTAAGGCTAGTTTTAGGCAGAACTTTTCTGCGGTTGCAAGAAACATCAACGTGTGGAAGTTAGGATGAGAGTTGAGAAGAGAGAAGTACAGTATTTGGAGAACTCTGACCATATAGGCAGCATGCGGTCATTTCAGTGTGCTGAAAAATTTTCAGCCCAGTTTAAAAATTGATATTTTGTTTTTGTGCAGGACAGTGTTCCTCAACCGTTTTGGGCCTGCAGACCAGCAAAGCTTCATAAATTTTTTGCAGACTCCAAAAGATAAAATGTTGTTATTCAAAAGACTTATTTATGGTTGGTGCATATTTAAAAGGTTTCTGATACTTGTTTGCAAAAATCAATTTAGGAACCTGCGCTGAATAAGCCGCAGCTAAAAAAAGCCTTCTTTTATTTTTCATCACATAATTTCAACTGCAATTGTCTTTCCAAAGTTTCAGATAAAGATAACTGCAGACTTCATTGCTACTTTTGATAAATTTATCATGCTCAAGGAAATTTCCAGTAGACTGTCAGAAAACTTCTGCAGACCTGTGCCCAGTCTGCATCAGACCCTAAGTTAATTGGGGAACACAAGGTTCTCAACTCCTGTAGAACTTGTAAAATATGTTGGATAATTGGTTTTCTTGTAGCAAATAAAGCATCACTTTTTGGGAGGGTTGTACAGTATATTGGCATGAATTCAATACTGTATACAATGTTCCTTGCAATCCTTATTCATCAGAGATTAATTTTGTGTGAATCTGAATTGATTTCTTTGATTGACTTCAAGTTTTGCATTGTAGCTGCTCCCTTTTCCTCTGTTGGTTGAATTTTCATCACACCTGATTAGTTTCACCTTTAATGTATATAGCGCTGGAATGGATCATTTAATTTGAACCGTTTTCCTTACTTTTTCCCCACATTTGGACGTGATTTAGCCAGGGCAAGTATAGGCTGGGACAAGCGAGGAAGAATCATCCTGGCTGCTGTGGACGGGAAAACGGGAAAAGACGGAACCAATATCCCGGGGATCGCGAGGGTGATGATGCACTTCGGCGCCGTGGAAGCCATCAACTTGGACGGCGGCGGGTCCATGACCGTCGTGGCGGACGGGATGGTGTTCAATGCCCCATCAGACGCGAAACCGGACGAGAACGACGAGCCCTGGATTTACATGACTGCAGAGCGACTGGTCACGTCCATCATGTGCTTCAAGAGAAGATGATCACTCACTGCTGGATACATCGTCACAATTTCCAATTCATAGAGAATATAGATAAATAAAAACCATCATTCACTTTTTGGTCAGTGCAATGTTCAGTTGTGTTTCTGGTCTATTATCGTGTATTAAACGATTCATTGTTTTTGGAGTTGCCAATTTATGATTTGTGTCTCGCAATTGATGGGGAGTCGTATGCATGATTGATCATGCTTTGGGTGGGTTTGATTACACATGTCCCACAATATTTTGCTGTAGATACAGTAGTAAATGATTCATATGCAATGGGTCTAACAAAAGTTCTCAGAATATAAATTGAAATGGCATATATAGTTGAGCTGGAGATCAAGTATTATTTAGGTGAAACATATTCTTTGGCACAAGAAAAAAAATGTGTCAAACAGGTCTGATTTTTTTCTTGTGCCAAAGAATATGTTTTCCCTGAAAAATACTTGTTTTTCAGCTCAATTATATGCCATTCCAATTTCTATTCCAAGAACTTTTGTTAGACCCCTTGTGTACAGTTGAACCTTGATACATGATTGAAACTTTCCTATACACATTTCTTTGAAGTCCTGCTCTGAATTTTCTTAAAATCAGTGCACAAAAAACCTGCCTAACTTGAATAATTTCCACACCAAATTTTCTACAGGCCTTTCGGTTATTATTTTATATAGCCACAGAAAAACAATTAAAATGTAACTTTATGTGCTTTGAAAAAAAGATGAAGAGTAATCAGACAAAAAAAAACCTTGCCTCCAAGTTCAGCATCCTGTCAACTCATTTAAAAAGCAATTTACGGCTTTGAATATCACCAATTATATAATTTCCTGTTATTTCTCCTTTCTATTCCCCCAACAAAAATGTTCGTTACCATAATTTGATTATTATTATTTTGTGTCTGTTGGTCCCTCAAATTTCGACATGAAAAGAGGTTCGACTGCAATAGGCAAAATGAAAATGCATCTCTTTTCCTCATTCGAGTTTCATGAGCGACACCTTATTTAAAAAAAAAAAAAACACAATTCCACACTGGAATTTCAATCGCTTTCAGGAAGGAAAAAAAATCATCTCAACACACAATCGTGTTCGCCGCGATTTGCCTTCATTCAGCTGCTGTCGGCGAGAGTCTCATACTTTTTCAGCAGGGTTTTCCGCACCGTAGCCAGGGATGCACCACATGATCCGTGTTTCTGCTGCTGCCGCATTTGACCAGACTTGTCCACGTATCTCATGATGCTCTCAATGTCTTCCACGGTGAACCGCGCGCTTTCTTCGTTCATCAGCATCACGGCATCCGAGTTGAGGATCGGACGGAATCTGTCAATTTCATGCCAATGAATGACGAGGAGCTAGCTTGGTCCAGCAATGAATTATCTAGTAGTCCACGGGAAATCGATACTCACAGTGATGGAACGTGGCTGGATTTCATCATGTTGACGAGCACGTTCAAAGCATCTGCGTGCTTCATTTGCCTCTTGTAGAAACAGAACTCCCTGTAGTTGGCTGTGAAATCATCAAGTGAATACCGTATATGAATTCTGGACATGTATAGCGCGTTCCTCTCATGATTTGAAATTTCATCAACTCTATGTGGGTGTCGCTTGGACTTCATATATCACTCCTTTTTTTTTTGTAAGTGCAAAATTACAGCGGGGCCCCGAGATGCGGACATAACTGGTGCTTGGACATCGTCTCCATGTTGAAACATCCATATGTCTCATCACATTTTTGCAAATATTTAAACTGGGACATATTGACTTTACTGTACTTGGTCCTCCTGTTCTTGAAAAAAATAAGGCATTCATTCCCAAAACATTGAACAAAACTGTTTCTCTCAACTTTAGAAACAGAAAATAACTGCGCAGAAGGAAACCACCCAGAATGTGATCTATTGGCATCAAAAGGTGCACAATAAGAAGCCAAGAATAAAGAAAAAAGTGCAGAACACAACTTTTTTTCTCAATGAGGGGAAAAGGGGGGTGCAAATCATGGACAGGTACATTTTTAAAAGTTTTAGAAGTTCAGGTGTGCATTATATTTGATTCTAATGGAAAAGTTTGGACCAATCTCAATAGAAAAACTTGACTGTAATGGAAAACATTGAAAATTAGTTAAATTCAGAATCAAATCATGTCTAAATCCAATTTTAAGGGTTATTATTTTTTGAAAACTTGCAGTTTTAGAGTCACTATACGTAAATAGGATGTGTGTCTTACTCAAGGATAGAATTGTAAAAAAACAAAGAGTTGACTGAAAAACCCTGGTACTTGTCTCACTCAAGGGAGCTTCTGGCATGAATTAGAGTAAATTTAATTCTTTTACGATTGAATTAATTTTTAATTTTTGTGAATATAAATAGCTCAATTAGTTCAAGAGACATTAAAATTCAGAAAAATAAAATGCTTCAATGTTCCCAGAAGTTTGGAAAATGGTACATAGCTTGAAACATCGTTCGAATGTCGGGGCAGATTTTTATAAGTTTGAAATGTCCCCCAAGTCAAATTGTCCGTATGTCGGGGTCCCATTTCATAGTACTCACTTCAGGTAACGCCAAGCAAGTGGAAGTTGAGAACAAATTAAGATTTAAAAAGCATGCAGAAGCATGAAAAAATAGATGATTCTTCTTAAACGAAAATTCACTCTTATCTGGACAGATTGAACGGAAACATGATGTTTCTGTACTATAATTTAGTTTTCTGTCTGTCCGTAACCGAAGAGCCAAAATATGACCCGAGGTATTAAAAAAAAATTAGAACGTCGCAATAAAAGTAGAAAATGCGCTGGATTATTTACTAGATTGGAAGGCACATTGAAATAACGAAGGCTTAAAAAAATAGCGCGATTCAGGCGACATCTGCACGCCATCCGAGAAATCGCGTACGAATACAGTACAGTACAGTACAGTACAATAAATTCATTTTCACAACGTACCCAAAAAGGCCAGATCGGGCGACACCGCGGTCCACGCAGCCGGGATGTCAATTTTGTCCAGGGAAGTCAGGTTCTCCCGAGATGATTCTTGGACCAGTGCTCGAACGAATTCCCTGGTGGCCAAGGCGATGGTAGATGCCTCTCCGCAACGCATGGCCCACAATATCGCTGCATAATACTGGCCTTTCGACGCTGATTCCCGGCACTTGACCCGGCACAACGTCAGCGCTGTTGGCGAGGAAACGATTACAGTACGGTATTTTCAAAATTAAATCTTTTGCTTGGTAAAGGTCGTCACTGACACGATTAGGCAGTTCAGATGTTTGAAAAAAATCACGTATAGTACAGTACCGTACTGTACTAGCTCAGATTTCCTGAGAGATAAATTATTTTAAATGCTGTTATACTATACAGTATTATGACATCATGTGAAATTACTCAAGCAACCGATACGATACGAATTATTGCATGCCTGGTTAGATTGTTGCTGTAGTACAGTATCAGAAAAAAAACAGGCGAACACTGAACAAATCAGCGGTGTTCGAAGTACTGCACAAAGAAAATATACAGTTCAAGCGAAATACATGCGGAGTATTTGCACATTATTTTATCAAGTACATGTACAGTAAAATTCCGCTACAATGAATCCTTTGTCATATCATTTTTTTTCTTGATCCGGGCACTTTCTATATAGGGGAAAATGATGCAAAATTTCTTTATAACGAAGTGATTTTCCTCTATAAACTCAGTATAACAAATTTCTGCCTTGTTCAAGGGCCAGGGAATTTCTCAAAAATTAGCACCATGTGGAAAAATCCAACTTGTACAAAATTGAAAAACCTTTGAAAAACGTATGCATATCTCCTTGGACAGAAAATTGAGCATCACAAAAACATAAGGTACGAAGCACTAGAGTAGCCAACATTTTGTCTAAAATAAGAGAATCATACTTCACACTTTGAATTTTCTGTATTGGCCCATTGAAAGAAGTTGAAAATGCGGTATTAATTTTCACTAATCTGTTGCGCAAGTAATTTAGAGCAGTGTTCCCCAACCTTTTCAGGCTTGAGGACCGGCAAATTTTAATAAAATCCTTTGCAGAACAGAACATTCTCATAAAATGTTCTGAGGACGGGCAACCTTCTGTTCAATTTTTGATGACTAGCAGAAAATCTTGAAATACAGTACCTGCCATACATTTCTAAGAAAATAAACTTTTATTGCAAAAATTAATCTATGAAGCAACTACAAAGTGGAAATGTCTTAAAATAAAAGGATGCTGGGCTTGAAGAAAGGTTTCTCAGGTTGAAAACTGGAAGTGACAATTCAGCACGTGAAAATATATCTGAATTGCTATTAGGAGAAAACACAACAATTTATTTTTCATCAGATAATTTAAACTGCCACTGTCTCCAAAATTTTGGATTTCAATAACAGACTTCATCATTAATTTCAATAAATTAATTATGTGGAAGAAATTTTCCTGCGGACCATGGACTGGGGAACACTGATTTAGAGAAGTGTTCTCCACCTTTTTGGGCCCATGGACCAGCAAATAAAAAAAAAAAAAAACATTTGCAGACCGGCAAATTCCCAAAAAAATTTTCTGCAGACTGGTAAAGTTTGATGAATATTTGCAGACTCACCAAAGTTCTGCTTGAATGTTATTTGGCAGGTATATTTGCAAGAAAAATTCAGTTAAGAATGTCATCAAACAATTAGAAAGGTGGGCTTGGAGAAAGGTTTCTCGAAAGGAAAAATTGAAATAATTCATTTCAGCGGGTGAAGATTTGTCTGAAGTGTTGATATAAAGAGAGCCAACTTTTGTTTCCATAAAATAAATCAACTGTAATTGTCCTCTCAAATTTTCAGGTAAAGAGAATAGACTTCCTCCAACTTTTGATAAATTGATTATGTTGAAAATTTCCCATAGACCAGCAAAAAACTTCTGTGGATTGGCGAACACTGCTTTAAAGCATCTATTACCAATTTCACACAACATGTCAGGGCTACATACTCAAAAACCATAAATGTCATTGTAACAAATGCATTTTTCTCTGGTCCCTGAGATTTTCTTTCAATGAGATTTGAGATTTTCTGCATGCGGCCTTGAGCCTGAAATGATTGAGCCTGAAATTTTGGAATAACGCTCTAATCACTTGATGAGACAAGAAAATTGCATTACTGTTCTGCTTTTATTTCAATTGAACTTGAATTCTATTCGGTGGAAATTAGAGTTTACACTTGTGGACTCACACTACTGCATTCGTAATCAGGAAAGAGGCAGGGTTCGGGGTTTCAACTCAGTCGAGCTCCTTCAACATTTAATAAACTAGCTTTTCTGGCCTGGGGCAAAGGCTTTATTTCTTCTTCTTCTTCTTTTTCCTCACCAACTTCTTGCATCCCCTCCTGTTGCGAAATTTGAAGGAGTCGCAAAACAGCCCGTTCATTTTGCAAGGGCAACCTCAGAAGCCGGTTCTCCAACATCCGTCGACTGTACTGATCGCTCTTGTCCAAGTAATTCATCGCAATCGTCCAAAAGTGGGCAGAGGACATGTTGCTCAAGTTTTCGTCAATCAGCTGTAATGCGTAGTCGAGCACAAACTGCTGTCGGTATCTTTTGGCATCTTTCCTGGGAAATTGGAAATCATCGTTATTATTATTATTATACTGTACTAAAAACACCACAAATGGAAGGATTTTATTGGCTCACTCGTCCATGAAGCCCAAGGTTCCAGCTCTGTACATGAGATCCGTCCAATGCGCGAGGAACCAACAATTGTTGAAGCCAGCAGCTGATTGGTCGATACCCTGGAGAAAACCGATCGTGATTCAATACTAACATCATCCAACAACATGATTTTCATCATCATCATTGTAAAGATTTTCTTTTGTCCGAATTTCTTCAGGTTCCAAGTTATTAGAGTACAGTACAGTAAAATCTCGTCAAAAGAAATACCACCGCAACAAATTCTTCAGTACTGCACAAGAAAATTTTTCTGAAGTCCTCGCAGAAAGCCTATAGATTTTCAATTCCCATCAGCACAAGAAAAATACTGTATGTGAAAACAGAAATTTGTTGTTCTCAAGTCTTGCGTTTTGTAATACCAATAAGATTTTCCAGCACCATGTTTACATAGTTGTGATTAGGACTTTGAGAAAAATATGCTACAATGCAATCCGACCTGTACAACATCCTTTTAAACATCATGATCAAAAACATGGTCCCAACAATTTCAACTCAAAGAACTTCAAAAGTGTACAACTATACAGTAGTAAGAGATTCAGGATTCAGTCAAACACCCCTTGGTGGCATGCCAAAAAGAAAAAAAAATTGCGGGTTCCAAATTCAAAAAAAAGCGTAGATTTCGTTCTTCGAGACTTTGACGTAAGCTATCAAACAAATAAAAAAAGAGGAGTCCGCACTTTTTTGCGATTCAATTTGGCAAAAGAGATGAGGATGAGATCCACGGGCCTCAGCTCGGTGCCCCTTTCGCCCATACGACAGAGTCTAAGACACATTTCCACTGCATTAGGAACGTCTTCGACGGTGGGACGAGACGTGAAGTCAAAGAGCAGCACAGCTGGAAGCAGTTCGTACCAATCAATGTGCATGGGGAACCTCAGCAACACATCCTCCACTTCCGCCAAGTTTCCGCAGAGCAACTGCGAGTCATGATAATTAAACACGGATTCCATTCATTCAAAGTCACTTCTCCAAAAGCCAGAACAATTCTAAAGAAAAAAAAGAAGAATTGCATTATGTACGTAAAAGGGGCTGTAATGTACTTGTCCCTGTGTCAGAGCGTCCGCATGTTGGATCACATTTTCCCCATAGACTTGAATGGGAACATACAGTGAGACCCCCACATGCGGACACCTCAACATGCAGACAATTTGACACAGCAACACTTACTTTCGCATAAAAAATTACTAATAAAGGCCTGACATGAGGACACTGACTCAACATTGGGACATTTTGCAATAAAATTGCAAATAAGTTTCAGGCCAAATCACAACAAACAGATATTTCCAACCAATGAAATTGGGCATTTTTCTCACCAATTTACCATCCATTTAGCTAATTAAAAAAAATTACCTCCAGCATAGAGGGGCTTCCTTTTCTCTTTTTCACTTGAATGTTAGTTTTACAGAGAATGCCAACATGTATTTTACAGAGGTATGAGTATTCAATTCCCCAAATGTCCGTATTGTGTTGAAATACTGTACATTGATTGAGTCAGTTTAAATTGGGATACATTTTTTATTTTCATGGAATTATGGTGATTATTTTGTCCATAAAACACCAAATAAAAATTATAAAATGTAAGTCTAAGGGAAAATGAGACTTGACTTGGGGACATTTCAACTTATGGAAACTCTTGATGCACCAATCACATCCACATCTTGGGGTCTCACTTTATTTCAACCAGGGACTTGGAGCAGGGTAAAAAAAATTTTTGCTCTGCTCTGGACACAATCCCATGCTCCCGGCTCCGGGCTGGTGCTCTGCTCCAGGGCTCCAGACTCTTTTCACCATAACAATAACATAATTTTTCATAATTTTTTTGCAATATCAATTTTTTCTAGGTTCCAGCACTTGTTCCACAGGAACAATGCTATGAAGATTTTATTTTTACAAACTAATTTTCATCAATAATCTCATTATATAGATTTTTAATTACAGTATAAATTTGTGCTCTATAGGCAATACAAATTTTTAAAATTTTGTCACAGACTAGGAAAATCTGACTTGAATGTATAGTAATAAAACTTCATCACAATAGGGTATGGAAATTATAATCTTTGAGAATTTATATTCAGCTATAATATAGGTTTATATTCAGCTATAATATAGGTAGAGGCCCATATGGGCCACTACCTGTATTAAAGAGGTTTCTGTAAAAGCATTATCTGAGGAAGATTTTTTTCTGGTCCCCTGCATCTTCATAGATAGAATAGTGATCCCCAACCCATGGCCCACAGACCAGTGCCAGTTTGCAGAAGTTTTTTTCAGTCTGCAGGAAATTTTCCTTTGCATAATAAATCAAAAGGAGCAGTGAAGTCTGTTATTTTTATCTGAAATTTCAGAAAGATAATTGCAGTTTGAATTAATGATGAAAAATAAAAGTTGGATTTTCTTCTAATAATACTTCAGACAAAATTTCACCTGCTGAAACAAATTATTTTGATTTTTATTCAGAGAAACCTTTCTTTAAGCTGACTTCTCTAAATTTTTGAAGACATTCCACTGTACTGTAGCTGCATCATTGGTTCTTGGCTTAATTTTTTCAATCAAGCAAACTTCTTAAATACCTCCCATGAAGTCTTTCAAGCATAAAATTTTTGAGTCTGCAAACATGTTTGCAAATATGAAACTTTGCCAGTGTGCAGAAATTATTTTTGAAATGTGCCAGTCCACAAAAAATATGTTCTGAAAATTTCTGTGGGCCAAAAACATTTGGGGGACACTGGTCCAGACTATTGAGTATGAAGTCTCCACCTGTACTACAGTAAAGCAACCAGGAGATGCATATTTCCAGCAAGATGTTAATGACTTATTCAAGGGGAGGGACTACTGTTGGCTGGCACCAGCCAAACTATGTGTATATGGTGAAATTACCTTTGAAGACCTGGAGGCAACTCTTGGAATACATGCTATGTTGATTTCAAGAATTCTGAGAGGAAAGCTGGGCTACAACAGCAAAATCTGCATGAAGGGCGCCTCATCTTTTGAGTGGAACTCTGCTAGGGTGACTTTTGCAAAACATTCAAAAAATGAGTCAAACAGGGCTGACTTTTTTCTTGTGCCAAAGAACATATTTTCCTAAAGAATAATTGTTTTTCAGCTCATGTGTAGGCCTTCTCAAATTTTATTCCAAGAACTTTTGTTAGACCCCTTGTATATCTCACAAACTAACCCATTTTTTAGATTTCATTGAAAAATAAATACAAATTAACCATGGGATACTTGTCCATTTTTTAGATTCCATTGAAAAATAAATTCAACTTAAACCATGGGATACTTGTGTAGCACACAAGCATCCACATCTTTGAGGATGTTGAGAAAAAAATGGATTCAGAATAACCCCTCTCTCAATCTAATAAGAGCAACAAGGCAAAGATTGTTCAGGGTTTGAGGACTTGACTGAATTGGAGGGAGGTAGTTTTGTTGACTGGTGCCAGCCGAACAGTCACATATGGCTGGGGGTTCTCCCCAAATTTTTCAAATTTTATTTGAGGCCTGGAGCCCGGAGCAGCCAAAAATTTTGCCTGCTCCGGGCTCTGCTCCGCTCCGGCTAAAATTGCTCTGCTCCGGGCTCCAGGCTCCGGGCTCCGGCTCCGCTCCAAGTCCCTGAATTAAACCATTGAACAGATGGCAGGAAAATAATTAGATTGTTTGATATTTCCGATTTATCCGTTGAACGACACTTTGATCCACATAATTCTCCAAAAACCAATGAATACAGTACTCTATCGACAGTTCGAATCATATTTGTTGGCCATTCTTTCTTCTTTCGCTTCTCTGCAAAATCACATGTGGTTCATGAAAATCTCCTATTTTGAATAAGAGGTATACTGTGCCTTATTTGCAGGGATATTTAGGGGTGCCGTCGAAAATATTATACTCCCTTTTCATTACATTCCGTTTGTTGAGAGGCCAGGGATTATCTTGATTTAATTTGCGCATAAGATCAGGGAAGAAAATTCCTGCCCTTCTGTCATATTTTTTTCGAATAAATTATTGAAATTTTGTTATCAAAAAATAACTTGCATTGATACCGAGAAATGATTTGCTTATCGTGAGATTGAAAGGCATTCCGAGGTTGTTTTTTTTCTCCGGAATCCGAGTCCGGCATGAGAATAAGGGCAGATTGGATACTTTAATTAGAAATCTATGGGGTTTGACAGGATTCATTACATTATTTAACCACTTTGTTTTTGTCTTTCATCAGGTGTGGTTCCAGAATCGTCGCATGAAAGACAAGCGCCAGCGACTCTCGCTCAACTGGCCCGCGGACCCGGCATTCGCCTCCTACGTCCTTCAGGCCGTGGCTTCATACCCGTACCCACCGGCACCCGCCGGCCCATTCCCATTCATGGGACCCTACGGCCCGAACCCACTAGCAGCTGCGTATGGCCCACGATTCGCCCCGTACCCGTCACCGGCTCTCAGAGCTGGTCCTGTGCCGCCACCTCACCC